TTAGGAGCGCATTATGTGTATTCTTCTGTTGGGGGCTTTTGTTTTGTTATTCTTCTTTTGGGAGTGTTTAGTGTGTGCATTGTGGTAGATAGTTGTAGGCTACATTTAGGCAGTTTTCTAGATTCAGCGGTGTAGCTGTAGCATTCGGCCGTACGTGTGACTGTTGTAGTTAGCCGTGGCCATTTCACGGGCCGAGGCCCTTAGTAGGCCTGGGAATTTATATGTGCTGGTCCATTGAACCGGCCATGAACCGTCGGGTTACCGACCCGTCGATTTTCAGCCGACTGCGAGCCAGTTTGGCACGTAAAAAAAAAACAAGCGTTACCCGTCTTTCAACCCGTGGTCCGGCCCGGACCACCGAGACAAAGAAAAAAAAAAACTAAGAACCGGAACTGGCCTGCATGGCCAAGGTTCCGGTTCAATGAACCGACGAAATCCAGGCCGGTCTGGGACCGGTTAGGGCCGAGCGACGGGCCGGGTAGGACCGTGGCCATGTCTAGTTGGAGTCGGTTAATTGTTTGTGTTCTTTGTTGTTATAAAATCTATCGTTGCAAAAAATAAAAATAAAAATAAAGTTCTACTTTATTTTATAGATTAACGTTATTTATAGATTAATTGAAAAATAACCAGATGAAATATTTATTTATATATAAATTAAAAAGGAAATATCAAAATAAACATCACTGGTTTCTTGCATACAAACTAGCAATGAATATAGAACAGCTAAATTTATATCGATTCTAAAATAAAATGTAGTTTACTGGAAAATTTGTGCTTGTTTGAGTATTTGAAATATTTTGATGATAGATATGTGACACCTTTTTTTATTTATTTTTATTTATTTTTATTTTTTTTAAATGTAAGACATTTTGTTGAAACTTGAAGAGTTTAGAGAATCTCGTGCAGAATGATATTTTGCCCCTTTCACATTAGACTATAACAATAATATTATCTGCGCCGCTCCGGATACAATCTCAAAAACAAAGACATGAATATTGCAATTTCTCTACTTTTTTATAGGTTTTTGTTCGTAAATTATTTTTACTACCCAATAAATGTACTGTGTATATACAACAAATGACGAATAAGGTTGTATTATATAAAAATTGTCGTTAAAATAATTAAATCAATATAGGACTATTAAATATTATTTAAACTAACGCAAATTTGGGGGCGTAATTTTAAAATTGGTCCTATAACTTGGCCACAATCTAAAAAACCATCCCGATATTGACCACTTTTAATTTGTGTCCTATGATTTATCGATTTCATCATTTCTGGTCCTTTTTTATCCGCACCTGGGATAAAAATTTAACGTGGCATGATTAAATCTGACATGGCAATTTTTTATTTGACATGGCGTAACGTGGCGGTTTTTTTTTTGTATTTAATAATTCAATTATGCCACGTGAAAATTGAAAATTTAAAATTAAATCCCAACAACCAATGACCTCTTAGCCTACTAGTTAAGAGTGAGGTACCCATGGCCAACGGCCATGGGTTCAAGCCCCCGGAGCGCAGATGGTGGAACAATTAATACTGAGGGTTACAAGCGGCAGACTGAAACTCGGTGGGAACCAGCGGCTGGATTGGTGGGGCCAGCATGAAGTTGGGGGGCCAGCATGAAGCAACCACTTCGGTGGGACCCTGCGGCTGGATAA